GGATTAGTGCATGTGCACCTAATGTTGTCTGTTCTCATCAGCAAAGTTTTTGGAAAATACAACAGACAAGACAGCTTTTTAGGATTGATGACATCATACACATTGAGTTAATGACTAATAAAGATCTTTTACTCCTGCCTTTGAAAGCAGATTTCCAATGATATTATTTTTACTCAGAATGAAAGAGGCTCTTGACTTCCTCCTCCATTGCAGTTCCAAGCTGTGACCTGCTCTTTCTCTTTCATTTGGGTTCAGAAACAGATCCAGTAGTGATGGTCCTGACCCTCGGCCGCTGACCGCTTTCCCTGTGGCTCCTGTGTCTTCCTCTGATTGGCTGCTGTGTGTCAGAGCCAGTTTGCTCTTTAATTGTGCGTTTGACATCTTCTCCAGCAGTTCCTGAAAGGGAAAAGGGTTATAAAATCGCACTGAAGGTGTTTCAGAAACAGTGCAGATGCTGATTTTTTGCATCCTTGTTTTTAATGCTACCAAATATTAAGAAATAGTTCAAATGTCCCCTCCCTACTCTGATGTTTATATGTGAGAGAACTCAATTGCACATTGTGTTGAGAAACCTATCATTAAAAGACTATAAAAATACAAAGAATTTCTCTAAACAATCTTAATTTGCTCTTCTGTGCTGACTGCAGCACTGGTTTGACATGAACCTTGTCCGTGCATGCTGTGAGGCTTTTACTTTATGAAAATGGAGCAGTGAGAAGAGTAAAGGATGAATGAGGCCGTGGGGAGGAGACGAGAGAGATCTCTGTCCTTCAGGGGAACAGTGAGTAGCTCATTGATAGCTCGCGGTTCTGCTTTCACGGGTGTGTCTGGGCACTGTGCTCTGCCCGTTTCAGAGGAGGGCGAGGGGGCATGTCGGCCAGGGTCTCGAGACCTGGCATGTCAGCGCTGCACAGCACTGCCCCCGAGCCCGAGATGAGGCTGAGGGGAGGAGCTGGTGCTGTGATTCATTCCATAGACATGTGCTTTTCAGAGGCTACAAGGAAAATACACATCCCACTGAAGCAAGCACACTGCCGCACTGTCTCCTATCAGTGCAGCATGCCGAACAAAATCCATGGTGTTCACAGACGTGTAACAGTACTCCTTCCCCTCAGTGTTTTTTTTCTTAAATATATAAATGTTTCAAATAAACCTCTGCCATGAGCAAAATGCTCTTATTGTCCAATGAATGTGAGCAGTACAGAAAACCCAGTGGGGTTTATTTTTACACAGACTTCCACGTCTCGGCCTTGCAGCTCTGCCTCCTCCTGAGCCCGAAGATTGCTCGAGCTTCCCACATTCCCTGCTTTGGCAACAGCTCCAGTGCCTCATCCACCCGAAAGCTTTTCCCATCATCCCACAACACACAGCATTGCTGAACCGGAGCCCCTGCCAACAGCTGGGCAACACAAACACAGCCAGTGGCTGCAGGGTCCACAGAGCAGAGCAGGTAGAGAGAGGCAGTTCCTGCTGTCATCATTCCTGAGCGACTGGGCAGCACCTGTGTTTTAGTTCTGACAAGGGCTGTGCAAAGCCTCTGTTATGTACAAGTAAGTCACATTTTTCCAGATCTACAGTGATGCAAATCGAAGGAGAGCTGGGGATACTTACAGAGTGAGGATTTAATCTCATGCACCTACAGTGAGTAACTCTCACACCTTCTGTCATGTTTCAGGATAAAATTGCGCCTCTACGATTATGTTTCCGTCTTAGCAAAACCCAGGAACTGACAGTGCTGAAAATTCGAAAATGCCTAATGTTAATGATTCTAGTGTTTCTAAAATTTTAAATTATTAAAAAATTAGAAACAGAGAGAGAGAGAAAAAATGTTACCTGAGCAGTCAATCACTGAGTTGTGTGGTGGATCCTGAGCCTGGAGAGCCGTGATGGAAAACCGCCCACACAGTTCCCCCTAGTGCCATGATTGCATCATTACAGCTGTCAGACGATTTTAGAGCAAATGGGTTACTTTAATGACATGCATTTACTGATTCTGTAGTGTAATGTAATATAAGTGTACACACTTGTTATTTAGTATTCCTGTATTCTTCTATCCTCAACGTCTCCAGCAGATTCCACTGTCCAAAGAGAAGCACTGCGGCATTCTCAGGGTATCGGCAGTGCTGATCCATGGTAAGTCCTGCCGAACCCCTCAGCGACAGCATGAGCGACACAGAGCGGCTGTGACCACCTGCGGGCGCTCAGCCTGATGGGAGATCACACTCTATATCGAAATCTGGTCTGGACAAGGGCTTCTGCAAACCAATGAATTATTATGATACCGTTCCAGACCCCTCCTTTTGAGGTGTCAATGTTTCAGTCTAATCTTCCAGAAAACAGAGCCTTTGTTTTCTACAGAGGTAGCACTAATAATCAAGGGGTCATTGTTATAATTATGCATTGTGACCGGAGCAGACAAGTGGATCCGTTCTGGAGCTTTCAAGCGTCTCCAAGGTGCAGTGCCACACCCTTCCAGCAGAGGTCACTCTAACCCCTGCTGAAACGGCAAATTTGTTTCTCTTCACCTCTGTAATGCTTATTTATAATTATCAGCAAGTGGTTTAACTCATGCAATGTAAGCATATCTGCATCTTTTACCATCCTTCAAATATTCCCTTTTGTGATCAGAATGAAGAGGCCTGGGCAGGAGGCTTGCCACTCTCTGAAATCTCAGTGCTGTGTGAAGTTTGTGATCACTGGTGTGTGAAGAGGAGTGAAAAGGGGAGCTGGCTTCCACCTCATTCCCACCTGCTGGGCAGCTCTGTTACAGCCTTGTCACATGTTCCTGACAAGGAGAGAGTATTATACTGCTACTACTACTACTAACACTTTTATTTATTAAGAGCCTTTCTAAGCCCAAGGGCACTGTACATAGTCATAAAAAAAGAGAAAAAAATACAAGGTAAAATAAACAAAATTTAAACAAAAACATAGAGGATACAGTGTAGAGCAATCAGACAGAGGCCAGAGTAAAAAGGTGAGCTTTGAGACAATGTAAAGTGTCTTGGATTTAGACAGAAAAATACTGTACCTCTACTCTAAAGCAGCAGAGAGCTCCCACTGTGTACTGATTCTGCTCTTGCCCAACACAAACTAGGATACAATCCCTTACTCAGCAAAGCTAAAAGGAATCAGCAGTCTGGTCAGGAGCTCTGCTGAGTATCACTTCAGGGCTGATGTCTGTTGGACCAGCTCCTTTATCAACATCCAGGTAAGTGGGGCCTTTCCAACAGATCCCAGGTCAGGCTCTACATAGAATATTTCTGCTACTTTTTAAGCGGGAGATTATGCTGTAGCGTTTTTTGCCATAACTGTCCTTCATTAGAAAGGAATAGTTCAGAATTTGGCAGCTGTTAGTGATCTGATAAGAAGATCCTTCAGTTCTCTAATTTTTTATTGTACTCTAAATCCCCCTGTTTTTTTCTAGCTATCTAGTTTTTACTAGTTAAATGATAGAAAGTCATTACAATGAAGATGTTATTGAATCATTGTCTTCTGATTTAAACCAACAGTTGTTTTATTTGTATTGGGTGTGAGAGATGGAAGAATGTTTCACTCACTGTGCATCAGGCTCTGTATTCTGACCTCCCAGACTCTCTCTGAAAACTAACAATATGGTTTTAAATCCTGCAGAACCTCAGGTAATTTTCAATTGGACAAAGACACCCTGTGTGGAGAGCAGCGTGCTGCTCTGAGCTAGAATATCTAATGGAATGGGGAGGAGACCCTGATTAAAGAGGCCTTTCTCTGCTTTTCCCCTTGGCACAGAGGATGGGGCCATCTAGTACAATGCAAGGCCTGTCTTACACAGTAAGACTCAGCTGTTCAGGTGGGGTGGCTGAGCGACTGACACCGCAGCTCAGCTAAATGAGGTTTTAAACCTTAAATACCTGGAGAAACAAGATCTGAGCAGATTTGCACACAGGGACATAGCAGTGGCTCCCAACCATGAAACACGTGCAAACCAAAAAACTGTAGAAGAAAGTATGTGAAGCCAAGTAAGTACTGAGAGAGCCCTCAGGTCACAGCTCATGGAGAAGCATGTGCTGCTGTTGGCTTCAACACTACTTGTGTCTTGTCTGACATGAGCAGCTGTGACCCAGAGAGAGATGGACAGTTAATATTCTACCTGGCCAGTGTTTCCGGATCAGCAGGGGGCGCTCTTACTTCTGGACCAGAGTTTGCAGTCTAATGTCACTGTACAGTCAATGGAGTCATGTTAAACTGAAGCTTCATCAATTACTTCATCAATGTAGATCTCATGGCAGTTTTCTTTAGAGTGTAGGAGTGCTAACTTCAGTGTCCTGACTAAATCCCGTGCCGGGATTGTACAGTCGGTACAATCTTCTACTTCATTCGAAATCCTTGTTTTTAATTGTGCTAATTCTGTTATCTCCTCACCTAGTTTTCTAACTGTAAATCACTTTGAGACTCTACTCTTTAAGGCACCTTATTAAAATAAAGTTGACTATTCTATCAGTGGTTTTGATTATGACTTCTCATTATTTTTCAATGTCAGGTGGAGGAGGGAGGGATTTCGTGTTTCTGAAACTTCATGATCAACGTGTGACTTTCACGGTGAAGGAATGATTGTGGCGCCATCTGGTGGAAAAGGAGAGAAATTTACCGGGTGCTAAAAGTCTCTTGTTCTGTCCAGTAAAATCAATAGCACCGTTCTGTGTCGCTACTGCTAAATCTACACCATTAGGTGAACTTATAATGTCACTGACTGAGAAAAAAACAACAAACTAGCACAACAAACTGTGGTTAGAAAGCAGTACAGAACAAGACATAAACGATTTTTTTATATAAGAATATAACAGTCATAAAGCAAATGCAATCATGTCTCGTATCTCAGTACAAATGGTCAGTTTAAAATTTCGAGGTTTTCCAGAATAGCTGTCTGATATTTCCAGCCCTCTGTTTTAAGAGTAGCTATACTTAGCCTGCACACGCAGTCGCACCTCGATCACATGACCGGGGCTAGAACATTCTATGACGTCAGTGTGCGGTCGACGTCAGAGGAGTGTGTGCTGTTGCACAGTCACTGCGAAGGATCTGAGTGTAAACAAGACGCGCTCGGCGGAGGAGAGCTCACAAGGCCGCTCTGTTGTTCTTATCGCGAGTGTAAAGACTCTCAGGACGCTTGTCCCCAGCATGGTGTGAGACTCTTGCGCCCCGGTGCTGCGGGAAGTGGTGTTCGGGACGCTCTGTCGGGAGAGGCGGCGGCGGACTCCGCGGTGCAGTGGGCCTGGCTGCTGCAGCGAGCGCCTGGAAAGTCCCTGGATGTGCAGGCCCAGCTCGGGCAGAGCGGCGGGCCGGAGCCTGTGAGTTCACCGTCTTCCTGCTGTTTAAAACGCGCCTGAACCCGCTTACAGCGCTCTCATGTGGTGCATCTCCAAATAAAGCCTATAACTTCAGCGGGTGAGCTGAGCCGATGATAAAAGCGAAACATATATAGGGTGATGCGTTTCTATCTCCACTGAGCACACCTAGGACTGCTGGAGGACCCCGTGTGCACAGTGGGCCCAGTGGTGTGAAATCGCTCAGACAACCGGCGAGTATAGCCCGGGAGCGCTGCTCTGTACGTGTACAGTGCATGAGCGCTTAATGCCCACGAAGAGTCTCCCCCTCCTTCAAGGAGTGGAAATTATCATTTTAAAGAATAGTAAAACAAGGTAGCCATGTCCCAGCAAGCTAAAGCAGACCTTTCCGTGTCTTATCGTGTTACTTGGTGTGTTTCGTTGGCGCTTCATGTCCGAAATGGGTGTGGCTGTTTTTGATCGAGGCAAGAGTTGTTTCTTGTGACTCCTGGTCAGTATTTAAAGTGAGGTTTCCTTACTGTGGAAAACCTGAAAAGCCCGTGATGTGGAGTGGGTATTGGGTGCTTTGTTGCTGGTGAGCAGTTGAGAATTTACTGTGGGTCTGTTGTTGCAGGTTGTGGACTTGACTTCTCCTCTGCGTTGTAGCAGTGTGGTCTTTTCCACTATGGAGCCTGGAGCAAAAGACCCAGAAGAGGAGACCCTTCAGACAGCCTTCAAGAAGCTGAGAGTAGATGCAGAAGGGTGGGTGTTCTGCACTAAATGCATACTTGTTCCAAGTGGTTTCTCTTACCTAAACAGAATTTAGTGGCTCACAGTATTGTCTGTATGGAAGTGAATTTTGACAGTTTCAGGTAGTTGAAATTGTCTGACTGGTTCCAATGGAGTTTTCACTGTGTTAATGATGGCATTCGAGTGGGAGTGTCTGGTCAGTCGGCCTTGCCTGTCTCTGCTGGCCAGCTGCTCTGATGGGCAACGAAGCTGTCGTACTGTTTTACTGGAATATGTAATTGCAGAATACATCTAGGAAAAGACTGTTCTTCTGGTAAATGCCTGAAATATATATCTCGGCACAGAGTCCATACTTAGTTCTCTAGAACATTTCTTATTCTAGAACCATATTAAATAATTAGGACCTTCCAATACTGTCATCTCTCTGTGGAACCCAACACTTTGTTGCTTGGCAACCCAAATTACTGCAGTTCCAGCTGCAGTGTGTGACATTTCTCGGCTTGTCTGTGTAAAAGAAAGCTGCCTGCACTTCATGAAACTGCTGATTCAAAACTTGGCACATTAATGTAATATATATGGAGTTTGCCTTATGTTGGTGCAGCTTAACCTAACCTTTTTGGTCAGTTTGCTGTTTTTGTTTTCTTGGAGTGTTGGATGAAAGTTTAAAGGTACCATATTTAAAGCAAGAATAAAATCATTGCCCCCACCTTTATCTGAAAGCTGCTTATTCCTAATGGAAGGGTTGCAGCAACTCGGAATCCATCCCAAAAGATATGGAGCAAGGGGGGGTACAGCCTGGCCACCAGTCTATCACGGGGCTAAAATTCATTTTCGGGATTTCCAGTCTTGACACATCATGCATTGCTGAATCTGTCCCTTACTATAGTTCAGCTGTTTGTAGGTTTCCCATCTAGGTGAAGTGGTGCGTCGTGTGTTTCAGCTCCACGGCAGCAGTGCGGGTGTGTGACTCCACGGCTCAAAGGATGGCAGCCCGAGGGAACCCAGACGGAGCCAAACCAAAGACTGCATGTCCCAAGGAGAACTGGCATGGGTGAGGACTGCAGCAAGCTCGCTCGGCTGCTCAGCCCTGTGTAGCGAACTCAGCAGATTTCAGCAGGGTGGTAGCAGGAATAGATGTTTTTAAAATGACTGGCCCTGATCTGGTTAAGATTTTGGAGGCTGCTAAATAAAAATACTGGAGCCAGTTTTATTGTACGAGTCAGTTGATTTTATCCGAGAAATAAAAAAAGGTTTGTTCCTCTTTCGGTTTTTCTCCTTACAGCTGTGTTGACTTTGGACTTCAGCACTGTTGTATAAGTGGGTGCTGAGCCCTGCCCTGCCTTTCCTCAGAATACAGCAAAATCGGTTGTAAACTCCTGTGATCTGTAGGCTGTCTCCCTGGATTGGGTTTAGGTTTACAGTCAGCTGTTTAAAGTAGCTGGATATTAAGGTTTATATACTGGAAGTGCAGCCACATGATAGGCAACTACTGTATACCATTTAACAAAATGTTTTAAGTGTTTTGTTTCAGAAATGTAATGTTTCTGTTGACACAATTGCACTAATAGCTTAATTCTGAAAGTTGTTTGGTGGCCGTGGGTGCTGTGTAGTGCCTTAGAAAGTGTTTGGCTCTGTGACGCTCGTGATACTGTGGTGAAAACTGCAGCTGAGCTGGTGTTCAAGCTGCGTTGTTCAGTGACACCCATTTCTTCGATGATAGATGTATGCGGAAGACATCTCGAGGTGCCGCGAGGAGCCAGCGACGGAGGAGGTCGAAGTCCCCTATCCTCCATCCTCCTAAGTTCACCTACTGTAGCTCAAAGATGTCGCCACCACCTGGGCACCTCAAGCACAAGAGCCAGCCTGAGCCTGACGGCGACAGTACTTCCTTGGGCATCCCTGCTAAGAAGGAGCTGCTGTCCCCGGGACGCTGCTCCCCAGTGTTTGGTGCCACCACTTACGAACCCTACGGTCACGAGTCTTCAGCAGGTGCCGCGGCCCTTGAGATAAACCCTAAACCCGTGGCTGATGACGAGGCCCCCTCTGTATCGAAGAGCCCAGGCTGTGCTCTCTGCCCAGAGCGTACATCAAGCGGCAGCGGCCCCCCCTCTGACTTCCAGTCCCTGTCGAAGCTGCATGAGGCGGGGGGCTGCCCGTGCTTGGAGAGGCAGTGCCAGTGTCACAGCTGGCAGGGCGTGGAGGTGTACTCTTTCACGGGCCTGCGGGACGTCATTTCGGAGTGCGAGAGGAACATGGCGGGCACCGAGGACACATCTCGGGTTTCGCCGCGCCACCGAACTCAGGGTGGCGCTGCAGCTTCGGGGTCTCCGCGCTCCTGCTCTGAGCAGGCCCGGGCCTACGTGGATGACATCACGATCGAGGATCTCTCAGGCTACATGGAGTACTATCTGTATTTTCCCAAGAAGATGTCACACATGGCTGAAATGATGTACACTTAAATTTTGGGTGGTGTTAGGGTTCCTCACAAATGGTTAGGCATGATGTAAAAACCAACATCCTTATTAGAGTTAACCGTTTTTAAGTTTTCATCAGTCATTTTTCCCTCTGCTCAGTCGCCTTTATCATTTTCCTTTCTGGAATACCTGTAGTCTCAAGATTTATATTTTTATTTTAAATTGGGCTGATTCATTTTATTGCTGGTTTACATAAGTTGCCAAAGCTCTTTTGCAAACATTACAGTTTGATATACTGTCTGCAAACCTGATCTGCCAAGAAATCATTTTCCAATGCCAAGGATGTCAAGTGTCTTCAGAATTTGCATTTCTGTTGTGATAATAAAATTTGTTAAAAGTTATTTTTGCATTGAGGTAGAACTCTTCTTTTGTTTTAAAAGTTGCTGCTGGTTACTTTCTGGTGTTTGTAAAAGGTGCAGCCTCTTTTAAAATCTGCACCTAGAAATTAAGGGTTTTCTTAATAATTAGTTGTGCTGTGCCAGGGGCTGTTATATATGATTTGCAGCCTTATCTGACGGGTTCCCTGAATGTCTGGTAACTGAGTGGGAGTCTCAGTCTCTTGTCTGTCAGGAGATCCAAGTTCTCTGATGCTTCTCATCAGAATGCAAGGAGGAGGAAACTCTTTGGTCTGTGTGTTCAGTTAGCACCCCAGGATGAATAGATGACAATTTGATTTACAAAGCATTCTGCTGTTTCACATCTTCTGGGTTCATTTCTTGACTGGCGTACCCTTTGTGTGGAGTTTGTGTGTTCTCTGCCCACGTGGATATTCTTTGGGTACCCTGGTTTCCTTCCGTCTTCCAAGGAAATATAGTCTCATTTAATTGGGGTCTCTTAATTGTAGGTCATTCCATATGAAATTAATCACCTTTCGTCCACATCCCTTTTGATTTTAATTAAAATTTTGGTATTTGTTTGCCACATATGTGTAGAAAGTAGACTGTTCTGACTTTTGATGTTATCTCAAAACACCTAAATGCTGCTGTTTATGTAATTTTTTATTAAAATCAAAAGGGGTAAAGTTGGAACGGGCCATGTTTTGATGGATTTAATGGGTAAATGACCCTTGTCACTGTGTCCTTCTGTGTGTGTGCCCTGCGATGGACTGGCATGGCGCCTGGGAAGCAGTCCTACCTTGTGCCTCGAGGGTTGTGGCAGCCCACGCCATGAGTAAGCATTTTTATTCTGGTAGTAACAAGTCCTTTAAACGTAAGTGAAGAAATTTCCTCACGTTCCTCATCGATCAGCGAGAGATGGAGGGGAGTTGATACGCAGGCTGGACTGGTGGGTTGGAGCCTGAAAGCTGCTACGTGTCAGGAAGGAAAGGTCAGTGAAGTAGAGATAGTGGGGAATTCCACTGTGGGCTCATGGAAAAGCCCTGACTGAAGCCTGAGTCACTCCCGAGCACAAGAAAGATAAGAGAAATGGGCTTTCCAGACTGACAGATTGCCTGAAGAGCTAGAATTAAAGAATTAGCTTTGGTGTCTAAAATATTTTTTTATTTGTACCAGCTTGCTTTTTCTTTTATGTGTCTTTATTGCCTGCCGTGTTAATTATTTACCCTACGATATTGCCTTTGCTTTCGGACCTGTTTGTATTTCAGGTCAGGTGCCACAAGGGGGTGCAGCAGCCTTTTTTGTGATTTCCATTGCAACGCTGGGTTCGTCGGGGGCTTGCTTTTAGATACCATAATGAACTTTGTGCTTTCCATTCCTTTGAAAAACATGACCTAGAATAACTGGAAAGTGGGAGTGCCCCATTTATAAGGAAAAAAGGGTGTATACAGTTGTTTTAGAAAGGAGATCTAGGCGGTGATCTGATGTGTTACAGTAAAGTCTTAAGGTTTTAGTTAAGTTTTGAGTCTCCTGAAAATTTAGCCTTTCCCTTTTCATTGTACTATTTCTAATCTTAATTTTTGTTTCATGTTTTATTTTTATGTAGTAAGTTTTGTAGCCCATACATTTTGAATTACCAGTATTCTTGTTAAGACCTGTTTCAGGTCTTTGCATGTTGCTCTTACCTGCGAAGACTATACAGGATTTATTTATGAGTCTTGTAATATTAGTCACAAAATCTAGCAAAGATCTTCTTACTGCCCAGTTAAGTCCTGCAGGTTTTCTGAACAGTGGGCAATGGATTAAATATCCCAACAGTCCACTGGGATCCACCTGTGTGCTATTAATGTCAAACCTCAGTTATGTATTGGGCACATTTATTTCACTCTCTTTATTCTTTGTGAGTACACTTTTTATCTGTGGGATGGTTTGTTAAAGCTTTCAAAGAAAGTCTTATCTAATTGTCTTCAGCTTAATTCTTTATTCAGGGGAGAGAAGAGACACACAACGCACAATGGAACTGAGAGCACAAGATTCAAGTTTCTACATGTTACCACAGCCTACCTTCTCTTTACTTGAAATGACATACTCATTTCTTATAAAGGATGTGTACTTAACTTCATATTTGGCTTTTTCGAGAAATGCTGGTGGCCATTGTAGATGAAGCTGGTTCTTTATGCATTGATAAGTCAGTTCTGAAATGAGTGGGCTTAGCACAGCTCTTCTCTTTAGATACCTCTGTTTTGCACAGGCCTGCAGCTGCACTGCCACGACTGTGGGCGCCTCTCCTTCTGTGCTGGAAGGAAACTGAGCAGCAGCACATGCTGGCTCTCAGGTCTTCATGTCCGCAACAGCATCAACTTCGGAAAGTTGAGTTTTAGAATTAAAAAAATATTTCCAGGCTGTTAACCAGAACCAATCATTTCTAACATTATTCTCCAATCTTAGGGAAAAAAGAATTTGTACGGTGAGAGACATAACTGCTAACTTAATTGAGTGATGTTACTGATTTTTCACATACAGCTCAGAGAAAATATAGAAATTGATTGCTGCGTTCTCTAAAATAGGGAATTTCTTATTCTCTTACAAAAAAATCATAAGCTACACTTCTTTCCAGGTACCTTAGGGTCCCTTTGAGCAAACTAATTTAGAGAGTATGATGTTTTTATTTATATACACCTAGTTATAAAGCTCTATGAACACTTGAAGCAACATTAGAATCAAGGTTATTGTTTTGAGCTTTACAAAACGGTGCCACATACCTAAATAATATAGTGTGAAATAAATCATGTAGTGCAAATCACCACATACAGTACTTCAATATTCATTCGATAGTACAATGTGCTGCAGTAAATGCTTTTTTTTAATGACAAAATGCTTTTTCATCTTGGATTAGATCAGGTAACATTTTAAGATCCATTTTTTCCACTGATGTCTGCTAAATTCTTCGGTTATGTGGGTGATTTACAGGCTTGGCTAAGTGCAGCTCCATGGATCCCAAATCCACTACCTTTCTCACTGAGGCCTGGGAGCGGGTGTTTTTCCATGACGTCATGGATAAGTCATGTTATGAAAGCTGTTCAGCTCCAGCTCTCTCATCTGTGCTCATACCTTAGGCTGGACTTCAAAGCAGTTCCATGTAAAATATTCCTAAAGTAGCAAGGATCCAGTACGCCTGCCAGGGGTGGTGTAAAATGTCTGGCAGTTACCGCTTTCTGAAATGTCTCTAACTCCGACGCCTGGCAAATTGGTTGTGGGCAGGCTCTGCGGTCAGCAGCTGACACACTTCATGAGTTTCTGTCATTGTGTGTAGACAGGTGAGCTCTTCTGTGGCTAGAAAGATGAAATAGGAGTTGAGGCACTGAATGTGTTTCTTTTTTCAGTCAAAAATTTGAAAGTTTATGGTCAGACCTCTATATATTGTGTCTTCCAGATTTGAAAAGAGCTGTAAAACCTGACAAAGCCAAGGCACTGCAGCACTGGCACGGCTGTAATGTGAGGATAGACTAGAAAACTGTTGTTCTTCCCGGCACTTATTACGTATGAACATCTTTTCTTCTTTGCCTGCTCTGGGTAACAGTCCAGGCAGTGGTGCTGCATGTGGTGAGGACAAAAACAGACTGTCCAAACCATGACCCGGCGTTGATACCCCTATTTAAAGCAAGAAGGAAATGAGATAAGTAAATATTAAAAAGCAACAGTATTTTCTTTGTACTCATCATAGAAAAAACAGAAAATAATTATTTTACATTTCAAGCTCTGCGTGAAAGTATAAAATTCCAGGATCCCAAAAGCATTTATTTTAAATTAATATTTATTTTATGTTCAATATTGTTTGTTTTTTTATTGTGAAGCCTAAGACAAATCTTCACCCTTGTGAATGGAAGTTATATAAATAAAGATAATAACCTTGCAAGTATTTTCTTGTCATAAGGGAACTATATTGATAAAACTCGAGATGATTAAATTCATTGATAAACAAGGAATCGGCCTGTGTGTTTTGTAGACGGATCCAGCCTCAGTTGAGTTGAGAGCAATGTATTTTGACCAAACTCTTAATCATGATCACCAGTCCAGGGTGTGAATAACCAGGAATGCTCGAAACTGTGACTCAGACCCCTGTCAAAATAGATTGATATGAACTAGATTTTACTTGAAACAGAAAACAAATATATTTCAGTCAAGAATAGATATGTTCTGAAATCATTTTTCATTTTTCATGAAAATAAGATCATTTTTGTCAAATATTTGCAAGGTGATTGTTTACAAAACATACACTCCTGTGTTATGGATCTAGCCATGGGAAAACAGCTCACAGCTCTATTGTGGCTTTTTCATATCCAGGCTCAGTAACAGACGACAGACGTGGAACTGCAAATGACTCCTTACTGGTCTCTGCCATTAGGAAAGTCTTCATGATTCACAAGCACAGCGACTCACACGCAGTGATAAATGGATTATGGGAAACTGGTGCTCTAGCAATAAACATTTCGAATGAATTTACTGAGAGTTCAGTCAGCGTTTCATGTGTTTTCACAGTCCAAGGGTCTCGTTTTGAGTTTGACAGCAAGTACAGCTAAGGCGAAATCCAAATGTCTTTCTGTATGCAGGGTAATAATGCAGGCTTGAAATTCCAAATCAAACACAGAAGCTTTATTTGTATAATGAATCACCATTTATTCTTTTGTGGAGGTATCACTGTGTGCCTGTGTACCTCTGTGACACAAACTTTGAAATCTCTAATGTAGTCGAACGATATGCATTAAATGCACTGATTCATCATGAAACAGCAGGGGAGCACAGATTAGCCTTCTTTTTCCACATCATGGTAGCGGTCTCTGAGAACATGCATGTCTTTTGATGAGTGTAAGACATCACTGCACTGCAGGTGACTGAACCTGAGCCTTACAGATGCACGCTCTGGGGGCAACCCTGACTCGGCTCTGTCAGTCTCACATTTCACAGCTGCTCCTTCCATTGCAGGTTTCCCAGGACGAGGCCCCTGT